ATGTTTTTGTTGTAGAATAAACCATATTGTTTTTTTAAATTTTCGGAAAAATATTTCAATAAAAATTGTTACAGATATTGTAAAAAAGCAGCTGTGTCAATACTTTTTGCCGGCCGTATATATATTAAAAAAAGGTTGTTTTCAACTATTTATTAGGAAATATAATAATGAACTTACGTATTTCTCGATTTCATTGCCAACTTCCTTGTTTGCTTCCTCCAGATCACCCAAAGTCAATATTGGAAATATCTTTTTGGTGGTAATTGGAACATTTTTCTTTATCAATTGGTCTACAGCTGAGCGAATTTTGGGCAAGGTATCCTGTAAGGTTTCTAAAAAAAAAATTAAATAACTCTTGAAAGAGTATGCAAGAAATTATTACCAGTTACCTTCAATTTTCATTTGCCTATTGTTAATTCCCTCCAAAGTTTTTTCAATTCGCGAAGTATCCTGTAAACAAAAGAAATGATTATTAGGGTTTTAAAAAAAAGTATGCAAGAAATTAATGCCAGTTACCTTCAATTTTTATTTGTCTGTTTTCAATTCTCTCCAATGCTTTCTCAATACGCCCAAGACGTTCATCGACGGATTGGTGTTAAAATCGCTATTCACAGCATATCTGTTGCGTATTAACCCTTTATCCATGTTAAGCTGTATTGAAATAATGTATGTACGTATTTATTTTTCTAAAACTTTGTTTACTTATTGAGTAAGATTTTATTTTCATTCAATTATGAACGTATTTACTAAGGTGGTGCAAAAACTCTGTTATATAAAGTCTACTTGTTTGACTTTTTTCTGAAATTCTACTTTTTGTAAAAGTGCTTTTTCACTCCACCTTAATATTTACATATGTCAAAACTTCTTTATTTCCTCATTAATTTATTTATGTATACATTTTTTTGTAGCTTTATTAGCTTATTTATTTCTTTCTTTACATATGCAGCTCTACAAAACAATAGCACATCAACATTAAGTCCAATTTTGACTATTTTTCTTTTGTTTTTCAATGTTAATTATTTTTTTTATAAAAGTATAGCTCATTATCTAACTAAAACCATCTAAATCCA